TATGTCTGACTACGATCAATCTAAGGATTTTGCTCGACCTCACCCATTTGTCTACAATAGTTACTACCTGCACCTGAGAGGGTTCAACTCCATTGGTGGTCATGTCTTCTCATCACTAGAGCTCGGAGAATTTCCTCACGAAGCTAGTAGTCACTACTGGGAACATTGTGGTGGTGGTGTTTGGTTCTCTGAGCTGGATGTTTTGGTTATGGAGCTTTCATTGTTCTCCTGCTGAACAGCATCAACATCATCAGCACAAACTTCAGATAGAAGAAGTGAAGCGCATTCGAATTTCTCCACATTTGACCTGTAGCTTGTTCTGTTAACCTCGATCTTGATTGGTTGCTGTTGACCTCAAACCAAACACCACTACAATAATCCAACTGAGCTACAAATTTTCTCCACCATCTGGGTGGGAACATTGTACACAGATATATACATTTAGAAACAATTTCAGTAGAATAAACAGAATTCTTACATTTTTCAAATCAGAAATACGAGAGAGAGAAAATAATAATATTAGTAATATTGAATTACTTACAACGTCCATTATTTGATTTAGGAAACATTTCAGATAAACTTGTACTGGTTTACCATCAATCGAAACTGGACGTTCCATTGGATTGTGTGCATCCCAACGTTTTTGATCAAATAAATATTTTAATAAACGTTTCTCTGAATGACCTGATTCCACTGAAATGATGTTTATGAAAGCAAAACAATCAATCGATATTTAAATTGTGCGGTAAACGAAAAATATTCTTTTCAAAATAAATTCTACAATGGCATATAGTTTAGAGGTTAAGCATTTGCGAGCAAGACCAAAGGTCCTAGGTCTCAATCATGTGATTAGCAACAGTCGTGGATGTGCACCATTACTGATGAGTCCCAGACCATGACGAAACGACCGACATTCAGTGTTTGTGGCATTCTAATGGTGTTGTGTTACGCCTGCACGTAATCACGTCAACTTGATATACTTGAACTATTAAAAGTTTACCTAGTCGGAAAATGAGAACGAGGATCGAGGATCCGGCGACACCACATGCTACTCAAATCCGCTTATCCCAACCCTCATCGACTAAAAAATATGAAGACTTGAATGTGAAGTAGAACGTGTATTCTACAAGCATCCAGAAAGTACGAGGTCCGGACTAGGGATCCGGGACCGAGTCCTGGTCTTGGTCGTCGTCCTAAAATGTTACAGATAATGCGTATTTATACATTTTGGTCGAATAGGAAACAGCATCGAATTCTGTGACATTGACAGTCAAGACGAACAATAGGAAGCAACGTTTGAAGTGACATTGATAGTCTGGACAACCAATAAGAAACAACATTGGAGTATGTGACATTGATATCTACTAGGACGACCATAAAATTGACCAGTAGGAATTAACCTATAGGAACTGACTAATAATTCTCTTAGGATATTGGATGAATATCCTAACATGATAGTTTAACAATAATTGACTCATGATTTCAGTAAGAAAAACAGCAATCTTCATAACTCTATGTAATGAACAAATTAATTAACCCAACAGTGGTTAAGTTCAAAAAACACAAACTAAGTCATTTCAAATTATAACATTGAAGAATTGTTTACGATTGTTTATTACAATGCAAATTGTGAATACTGAATAGATAGAATGCGTTTTTTAGCAGTGGAATTCACACCCTTGCGTTTCATTCTATTAGTATGAGCTTATCAATGAATCGAAATTGATTTTACATTTCAATCAAACTGTAGTGAAGGAGAACACAGGTGATGGCAGCTGAATTGTACTTATCTCAAATTACAGAGTTAATTGGTAAAATAGGAAAACCGTATCGTAAATCGTTAATTTGCAAAATATCAATCCATCATATCGAACTGGACTGTTCCTGTTGCAAAACATCAATCGATTGTCTGACATTTCATTATTCATGCGTTTCATACAAATTCCATTGTGTTCCCACTCTTCCTTTCTTGATCTTCCTCCATCTTCTGCTGCCAGACATTACGTTTTTACTCGTGTCATTTACTATTTATAAGTAGCGCGCACCACAAAACTATTAACAATGGCATAATGTGAATTATTATTTCAAATTGAATAAGGATATGTGCATAAAAGTGTGATAACATAGAGTGAAAGGGAGAGAGAAAGAGGGGGAGAATTCATGCGATCATAAATCAGGAATCTTCTAATGTGTAATCCGTAGAATCACCTGAATCAGGGTAGGAAGTAATCCACAGAGGTGGATGCTGAAGTACATTTCTTAAACCATTTGCAACAAATTGTCCATTATGGTTCTCAGTCACTAATGCTAACTACACCTGGAGACGTTCTGATGTTACTGCCCGCCCCAAGTCCGGAGAAAGCAAGAGGGTTTGGCATGAGGTTAGCGACACAATCTCGTATAACATAAACTTGTCAAAAAAATGCTAACCAGAATAATCACTTCAAACCAATTAAACTGTGCTCTAGGAGTTACCACGTCTTCGTTTAGAAGAATTATGACATCTCATGATGAAAGTTGAGTTTACTCGTGAAGTCACAAAGCCGAAAAAACTGTTGTACAAATATATATACATTAGTCAAAGTTAGTCATTCCATAGTTAATAATTGGACATGGCGGGTTAGTCCTGTTAAGAGAATGAGTTGATTGTATTTTGATTACACAATTTAAGCTTTCTAATCTGAACAACTATTGTTTCTGTTGTGTGAGGACGGTCGTTTTGTCCTGGTATGGGACTCACTAGTGACAGATTGCATCCATGACTCCCGGCACTAGCAGGAATTGAACCCAGGACCTTCGGTCTTGTGCTTGACCACTGAGCTGGCCGACACATAACGGTGTTAATGTGAAGAAATTCTTGGAGTTCTACTGAGAAAACGTGACCAGTAAGTAGGGTTCAAGCCTGTCGGGTATAGGCAGTAACTACCGAAGACAACTGGGTGAGGTTACGCTAAATCCTTCCACTGATCAGAGTTTGGTATTCACATCGTTGGATACAGAATCAGTGGTTTAGAGGTTAAGGCCGAAGGTCCTGGTGTGGTGGCCGATTTCGACGTGTTCTTAGGCTTCGTAATTAGCTCTTCCGGACAATCGTTACTAAATAGAGTCTGACGGCTTATAAATCAGAAGGTGAACTTAAAATGTTGAATAGGTTTATTTTAGCACACCACAAATAGATCAGCAAACTACTAGCAGACCGGGTAGGCACACTAGCGAGCGAATGTGCGAGTGTATTAATGAGATTAAAATGTTCGTATATATACATAGGAAGATATCTGAGTCATCGAGGTATTTAAGAGATTAATATTAAAGCGAATCGGATGAATATGCGCATTCCTGCAAACTTGACTACATATTTATTAATTGGCTCCTGATCTGTAATATGTCAATTGTAAGATCTAATTTTGAAGGCTTTGTTTGTGAAAATCCCTCTCCATAGTAAACATTTGTAATTTAATCTTATTCAGTCCTTCAGTTGTACATTTTGTTAGTCTGTTCGATTCCATTTCGCGATGATAATATTTGTATTTTATTACAGTTTCTATTTCTTTTGCCTTTTACTGAGTTTCCATGTTTCCTTCTAAAACTGCATTTATCTTGTTTGAACTGATACTTTGTCAGGACGACAGCCATACTGATTTGTGTCTCTTTAGATTGAGTTGTTTGCTTGGACTGGAATTGTTTCATTTCGATTGTGGATTGAAGCACTTTCGCAGAATAAGAAGCACTATCTGTTATAAAGCAATCAAATATTATCTGTCGAACGAATCTAATCTATCTATTTGTTGCTGTTGTTGACTTGAATAATTGAACAAGTGTTTGTGGAATAACTGAGTGGTAATATTAGTTTAGATAATGATGTGCATTTATATTTATGATGAATATTAGAACCACTGTCATTTACCCAAATCACTTTGTTTTGGTTTTAAACTAGGCAAGGCGCGTATCTAAACTACCTAGACAGTGATTTTTCAGTCCAAACCTCATTTTGCATCCTACACCACTGATGAGTCCCATAGTAGGACGAAACGACCATCCAATCAATACTTGGTAAATACATACAAGATTATTAAATAACTAGTTAGATTATTGTATATTATAAATTACAATATAACTTTTAGGAATTATGATTACGCACACTATGGAAATTAAAACAACCCATTTTATTCGCATTGAACACTGAACAGGGAACATTGAACTAACCTTCATGAATCCATGAATAAAATAAGATTTGATGCAAAATTATATAACATGTCCAATGATGCATTTTATAATTATGTAATAATGAGAATCACTTGTGATGACTACTGATTAGTGTTATAATCAATAATATATATTTGTAGAATGTCTATGTCTATGATGTCTAGTTAGTTATATGTCTGTCTGTCTATCAACTATTCTATTCACTTTCTTTCAATTGAAATGAATGAAGCAAGCATGAGAAACCACCAATTTCATGCAACTACTACTTACTGATTTGTCTACTTAATACTACTACTTACTACTACTGACATGTCTATCCTGGTTAAGATGAAAATTTAGGGAATATTTTTTCTATTAAGCGGATAGATAGTTAAACTGACAGAAAAAGAGATACGGACTTTTAGGTTATAGACATGAAAGTTAATTCGAGAGGACAAAGTGATGGGAAAGGGGAGCGGAGGAGGTATTTAAGTATTTCTGTCACATTTCGTCTACTATTCGAATGGATATTTTTGCGTAATAAAGGGGTATTGTAGAGAGAGAGATGTTTGTTCAATATAAATCTATTTAAGTGGTTGACGTTCTTCTACCAGACGAATCACTGATTCACTTAGAATATATATAACTTTCTATGGCGAAAACGCTGACAGTTCTGAAAAAACTTTAAGTAATTTAATGCAAACAGGTTCAGGATGCGATTCTCTGCCGCCTCGAAATGCAAAATGTTACTTCAAGATTGGCTTGCATCGGCACCTCAGTGATTGATAGCGAGTAGAGTAGGTGAACGTGTTGACTACTTCACTTATCTTAAGGATTTCAGTCGTTAGTGTCTTCGAAGCAATGCTCGTATATCCTGGGACAACTAAGAAAACAATACTGTTGTTGGGAAATGGGTACTAGATACGAATGGCCGATTAATTGATCAAGTAGTGAAACTTAAACAGTTGAAGTGGTTGGGACATGTGTTACGTAAGCCTAACCAAAGACCTACTGCCACGACGAGAAATGTTTTGTGGTCTAGGATGAGTAAGCTGTGAGAAAGTTGAATGGAATGAATTTTAAAAAGGTCGTGAAGAATTCCAAAGCTTAGTAGTTGTTATGTGAACACAAAAACATGGATATATCTGTACCATTACAAACGATTTTGAGCAGTGATGTCATTCAAAGTCTAGAGCCATCGGTTACGATTGTCTCGCGGACCCCAACCACATAGTCTGTTTTCTATTTATCACTCTAAATAGCATTATAATTTTCAATTGTAGATATATTTTAAAATTCTATAATCCCACGAGTTGCAGTAGTCGTGGATGTGCACTGAGCGCCACTGATGAGTCCCGTTCCAAGACGAAACGGCCGTCCTATGCTTCCAAGTTTCTAATGGTGATAGTATAACAATGATTGATTGATGATTTCATTGAGTATTCCATGAATACGAAGTCATCTTAAACACAAATTATTATTCATCAACTTATGATTAATTTTAAAACACTGAATATCATTTTATGTTTGCTTAATCCAATTTGACCTGAATATCTATCGATCAGGCTTCTAGAACTTCTCCAAGACTGTTGAACTTTACTTGACTTATTATGCCTATTTATGCGTATTCATACATTTAGGTTAAATAGGAAACAACATTGAAGTATGTGTGTGACATTGACAGTTAAGACGACCATCATTATTGACCAGTAGCAATTGACTAATAGAATTAGACTTCCGAAAATAATTCCCTTAGGATATTTGATGATGAATATCCTAACAAATATTCTCTAATAAATTTATGATAATGCTAGGAAGAACTGACCTTCTACCATGGATGAGACATCATAACATCCAAGTATGAATTAGGCAATCAAATGTGACAGAATTACAAGTCAAATCTAATGTAATTATACTTAGTTGTCATGATGAATTTTTTGTCAAGTTGAAGTAAAAATCGTTTACGTGAATTCTTCTACACAAACACTGGTTTTTATAATTACAATTGATGGAAAGAGATTTAATGGTGTTCAGTGAGTATGTGGAAGAAGTTTTGAATATCATTTCCTGTTTGTTTAACACCGGTAAAATTTTAATTTTGTATGCTGTTTTGTACTACTTATGATTAAAACAGTAGTTTGAATTGTTATCAAGTATTTTTATGACTTGTATGAAATGTGAAATCAGCGAATTATTTGATGCAATGGAGTATTATTGATCAGCTAGCTCTTTCTTATTTCGGTGTCTGAGTTCGTCAATAAGTCTGCCAAATGAACGCGAGATTTGACTCCCTATCTGCAATCAATGACACACGACTTAATTTACACTGCATCTTCAGCATAAGAGAAAATGCGCCAAGTACCAAAAGAACGCTTTAATCAGAGGATTTATGTAGACAAGAATGAGGGTATTGATAGCTTCGCTCATCACTGTGGGCTTGTGGATCGTTCGGAAACCATGTTGAATATGACAGCGATATGGATAAATGTCTAAACAGGACCGCGGCATGTGATTCTGCCTTTTGTAGATGTTTCGATGAATGTTCCATCCCACTCTGATTGGATGACAGGTTCTCTGGTAGTTCTATGCCCCTAAAGACTTTTCCGAAGGGTATTTTGTGACTTACTGAACACTCCTATTTCCATCTCGCTTATTCCTTTGAAAAATTTTTCAACTTTTCGTAAGGCATTGTATAAAATCTTCGAAGAGTCTTCGAAGCATCGCTCGTAGATCCTGGGACAGCTGAGCAAGTAGTACTGTTGTTGGGAAATGGGTACTAGATAAGGATGACAGATCAATTGATCAAGTAGTGAAACTTGAGCAGTTGAGGTGGTTGGGACATGTGTTATGTATGCCTAACGAAAGACCTACTGCCACGACGAGAGATGTTTTGTGGTGTAGGCTGGATAAGCTGTGAGAAAGTTAGGGGCACAAATCCACGAAGTCACTGACAAGCGGACTGAACCATATTAGTACGTGGTAGGACTATATGGCTAGGGTCAGCGTGGAGACAATAGTAACTTCACACTACTTACTTTACCTTACCCCCCCTACCTCTGTTACCCCCAATGGAGCATAGGCCGCCCACCAGTTTTTCTCCAACCAACTCTGTCCTGGACTTCCTTCTCCAGTTCTGTCAAATGTTTGTTCATTCCTCTCATATGTTTTTGTATTTCTCGGCTTAGTGTGTTCCTTGGCCTTCCTCTTTTCCTTTTGCGTTGAGGGTTCCATGTGAGGGCTTGTCTCGTGACGCAGTTAGGTGCTTTCCGCAATGTGTGTCCTATCTACCTCCACCGCTTCTTCCTGATTTCCTCCTCCACTGGAATCCCACTTGTTCTCTCCCACAGTTCGTTGTTGCTGATGGTGTCTGGCCAACGAATACGAAGTATTTTACGTAGACAGCTGTTCACAAACACTTGTATCTTCTGAATGATGGCTTTGGTAGTTCTCCATGTTTCCGCTCCATACAGTAGCACTGTCTTCACATTTGCATTGAAAATCCTGATTTTGGTGTTGCTTGATATTTGTTTGGCGATCCAGATATTATTCAACTGTAGAAATGCAGCCCTCGCTTTGCCAATCCGCACCCTCACATCTGCGTCCGATCCACCTTTCTCGTCGATGATGCTGCCCAGATATGTAAAGTTGTTAACGTCCTCGAAAGCATCTCCAACAAGCGTGATTTGATTGGTGTATGTTGTGTTGCATCGGAGAATTTCGGTTTTTCCTTCATGTATGTTGAGACCTACTGCTGCAGAGGCTGCTGCTACACTGGTCGTCTTCTCTTGCATTTGTTGTTGAGTGTGCGATAGAAGAGCAAGATCATCTGCGAAGTCCAGATCGTCCAGCTGCGTCCTAGCTGTCCACTGAATACCGTGCTTCCCTCCAGACGTCGACGTCTTCATAATCCAGTCGATCACCAGGAGAAAGAGAAAGGGTGAGAGTAAACAACCTTGTCTGACACCTGTCTTCACCTCGAACGAGTCTGTCAGCTGACCTTCGTGAACGATTTCGCAGTTTAATCCATCATAAGAATTCCGTATGACGTTGACCATCTCAGACACGCCGTAGTGTCGAAGAAGCCTCCACAGTGTTTTCCTGCCCACGCTATCAAATGCTTTCTCGTAGTCGATGAAGTTGATGTAGAGTGGTGAGTTCCATTCAATTGATTGTTCCACAATGATCCGTAATGTAGCAATTCGGTCAGTACACGATCGATCCTTACGAAATCCGGCCTGTTGATCTCGAAGTTGGGCGTCTACGAAGTCCTTCATTCTGTTTAACAATACTCTGTTGAAGACTTTGCCTGGTATTGAAAGAAGAGTGATTCCTCTGTAGTTCTCACACTTGCTGAGATCGCCTTTCTTTGGTATTTTGATGAGGTATCCTTCTTTCCAATCTGATGGTACTTGTTCCTCATCCCAAATCTTCTTGAAGAGGATGTGAAATATTTTTGCGGTTCCTTCTACATCTGCTTTCATTGAATCTGCTGGAATGTTTTCTGGTCCTGCCGCCTTGCCGTTCTTGATTTTTCTGATGGCCATACTGATTTCCTCAATCGTAGGTGCGCTAATATTAATTGGGAGGTCCGTGGATGCTGCTTCGATGTTGGGTGGGTTCAGTGGAGCTGGTCGATTCAAGAGTTCCTTAAAGTGCTCTACCCACCTATTTCGCTGTTGTTCAGTGTTGCTGATTACTTTGCCTTCCTTGCTTTTCACTGGTCGTTCTGGTTTACGATAGTTCCCGGCGAGCTTCTTTGTTGTTTCGTACAATTGTCTCAAGTTTCCCTTCTCTTGCAGCCTTTTCCGCCGTCATTGCTAGATCTTCCACATATTTTCGTTTGTCAGCTCTGATGCTCTTCTTCACTTTCCTGTTTGCTTCTGTGTATGCAGCTTGTGCGGTAATTTTCTCTGCTCTTGTTCGGCTGACATTGATTGCTGCCTTCTTGTTCCTCCTTTCTTCAATTTTTGCAAGAGTATCAACAGAGATCCATTCCTTGTGATGGTGCTTCTTGCGACCAAGGACCTCCTGACATGTTGAAGTGATTGCCTCCTTAATCCCTTTCCAATTGTTCTCCAATGTTGT